CGCGCCGCGCCGCCGCGCTGCCGCCCATTGGTCATACCGCGCCCACATGCAAATATGTTTCCCTCGCGCCCGTCCATTGGCTGCGGCGCGCCCTCATGCAAATATATTCCTCCCGCGCCTGCTAATTGGCTGGCTGGGCGCCCTAGCCGGCAACGTACCACGGAGCTCCCCTGGGTCCTAGAAGCATTTTAAGCGCGTTTGTGTGGGGGAGCTACAATTGCTCAGGCCTGGCTGTACCACGGGTTCGAGTCTCTACATCGTTGTCTGCAACCGAGAGGTGCCAGCTCCCGGTTTCTTGCTGGCCGCGGCGAACCCGGGGCGTGGGCTAGGCGCTGCTCCACTTCCCCATTCAGTCTATGTGCCCGATGGACTGAGCTTCCTCTCTCCCTTCCGCGTGTACACGCTTCCGTGTGTACAAGGCCGGTAACCCGGAGAGCCCCACGGTGTCTGCCACCAGGCCTCCATCCCTGTCTGAAGAAGAGACCGAGGGTCAATGGACAGAAGACCACATCCCGCAGTAACGACCAGGCCCTGCAGCAGTGTCTTGATCTACAGATCTTGCACTTAGCGCTCAGTTCCTAGGGTTACTTGTCTTTAAAGGGGGACCTCAGGGAGTCATCAGGATGAATCTGGCTGAGGAGTGGACACGGGGAGGCCAGGAAGCCCAGCACATGGCCGCATGCAGTCACACTGAGCTAGGTGCTGGGCTGGCATGCTCATCCAGACCCCCCTCCCTTTCCCAATTGGCCTCAGGGCCTCTGCTGGCTGAGCGAGAGTAGGCAGCTTCCCTTGTGGCCATGTGTGTAGTGGGCATCCTCGGGGCATGCATTTTCAGGGCTGGAGGAAATGCACATTTTAGAATCCAGGGTCAGCCCTCTCAGGAGAGGCCACGTCTGTGGGCTGGGGACAGGTTCCCCAAGCAGACACTGCTGGGTGTCGGTGGGGGACCTCACACGCGGACAGCCTCCCTGAGCTGCTTTGGCTTGTCAGAAATGGGAGGAGAAGGCCATCTTGTGAAATGCAGAGCCTGGGGTGGCACTTGGGTCCTCAACCCTTACTGCTGTCTCAGGGAGGCCCCAATGGGGAGGGGACAATGAGGTGGCATCCAGGAGAGGCGCTGCTGTCAGGGTGGGGAGGAGAGCACCCCACCACAGCTTGCTGGGCAGAAGGGGTCGAGTCCTGGGCTGCCTCTGATGCCTGCTGGCACTATGCTGTGCTGTGAGGTGCTGGAGGGACACTGAGGCAGGAACATGGCTGTCTTTCTGGGTCTGTTTCCCCTTACCTGCTCCCCACCCTGCCCCAGAGGACAGGTGGGTGACTGCAGACCATCCTGGACAGAGATCAAAGTGAGTGGGGCACACAGCTTATATTTTATTTCATTTTGGAAAAAGTCAAAACAACCTTTAACAGCTGGGACACACATGCACACGCACACACACACACACGCGCGCGTGCATGTGCACGGACATGCACAAGTTCCCACTTGGGACAGGGCCATCTGGCTTCTCAGGCCGGCAGTCAGACAGCTTGTAGTCAGCAAGGCTGGACCTCACACCACATGCCCATGTCCTGCTACCCCATGGCACAAGAGTCACAGACTCCTGCTGACCCTGTGGGCCTGCCTGCCTCAGCTTGACCAGTCCTGTCCCCCAGGTTTGGCCCTGTTTTCTTTCTTTTTGTGTGTTGTGGCCCTGTTTTCTTTGACCCTTCCCCTGGCCTTTTTGTTTGTTTGCAGTACTGGGGATTGAACTCAGGACCTTGCATGTGCCAGGCAGGTGTGGAGTCACTGAGTGACATTTCAGGCCCCAATTTCTCTGGCCTTTTACCAGGGCTCTGTCTGGATGCTCTGAGGGCAAGGCAGGGAGCTTCCTAGCTGTTCCTTCTGCTGGCACCCCCAGTGTCTTCCTCGACATCCTCCATTGCCCCCTTCTGTCTTTGGTGCTGGGGGTTGAACCCTTCACACTGAGCTATGTCCAGGGTCTGGCTAAGTCACTGTCATCCAGACTGGGCTCAGATCACTGTTGCAGAGCACTGGGACCATAAATGTGCACCTCCACTCTGCCTCCCCGCTTTTTCCTGCCTGTTCACTTCCTAGAGTTCTGATTTTAGCAAACTTCCCCAAGTACATTTGCCTTTTGCCTACTTGACACGCTCCTATTAACTCTTAAAATCCAAGTTTGAATCTCCCCTGCCACCTTCCTTGGCCTCCCCAGGGACACCTTGTCTCATTGTGCTCTGTCATTGAATGCTCACCCTTCTCCTGCTTGCTCACCAGCTCCCTGATGCCCAACTGAGGCCTTAGTGAGACTTCCTGTGTAGGGGAATCACCTGTGGGTGCTGCTTCAAACACCTGCAGGTCCTGGTTCAGTGGATCTGGGGTGGGGCCTTGGCCTCTGATACTTAAGCTCCTCTGGCAGAGTGCAGAGGTCCTGAGATGTGTCCTCCTAAAACAGCTGGGCACCCTTGAGTGCTACTGCCTTGGGGCGACACCACTGGATGGCACGGGCCACAGAGCAGGACTGTGTTGGGGAGGAGGGGCCGGGGCAGGTGCACATGCTGTTGCAGTTCCCCAGGGCCTTGCTGCTGGCTCCCCTTCATGCTCTGTAGACAGCAGAAGGCCTGGATTTCTGCCCTTCAGGACGGGGCAGTTGAAATCCTCCCGAGTCACTTGCTAGGGCGGTGGAGGTGGATGGCCTCAGCCCTGTCAGCAGCACACACCAGCCTCCTTTGTGTTCGTTCTCCACGCTCTCTCTGGACTGTCTGGGAGGACACCTTCCCTCTCTCCGCCAGCCTTGCTAGATGCCTGTTTGCCTGGACTCCACCAGGGGCCGCCCCAGACTGCCACCTCTAGCTGTATCCCTGGGGGAAGGGTCAGCCTTGCTCAGCTCCAGCAGGACGGCCCATTGCATCCAGGAGGCTGCCGGCCTCCCGCCCCCGCCGCTCTGCCACGGAGCAGATGCTGGTCTGAGTGTGGGGACCGGGCTGGCAGTGCTTTTCTGAGAGGGTGGAGCTTCCAGGACCCCTGTAGACGCGGGCCCTCTGCGGTGGTGTGGCATGGGCTAGCTGGCTTGGGGGAGAGCTACCAGCCCAGACTGGCTAGTTCTCCTCAGGGCTACTGTTGCCAGGTGAGGGGCTGTCGGGCCCTTCAGTGGCCATCGTGAACTCCCTGGTTTTCCTTCTCCCTCGGCATGGCTTCTTGGAGGCTGTGGGAAGCAAAGGTGAGCAGAGGTGTGGCAGTGCCCCTGGTGGCCTGGTGTGTCCCCCTCAAGGTGACACTGGCTCTTATTGAGGGCCTCGAGGGTGGCTGTGGCCACCTCCTTCGTACCAGCAAGGATGCCAGGAGCAGGGTGGCCCTGTGGGAGGGGGAATCCTGAGAATCTGGTGGAGGCATGGCTCATGTCCCCAGACATGTGGCCTGGAGACAAGGTCCAGGAATGATGAGGTCGCTGCCTGTGGAGGGCCTGGGACAGGCCTGGTGACCTGGAGTTGTGAGTAGCTGAGGCTTAGTCCCTGTGATGCTGACTGTATGGCCAGAGACCAGAGGGGAGGGCATCTGGGTCCTGCCAAGGTGCCACGTGCAGTCAGCTTTGACTCAAGACACTATGCACCACGCCTGTGACCTTAAACTCGCCTCTCTGAGCCTCAGTTTCCCAGCCTGTGAAACAGTGCAATCCTACTTGCTGGGCAGGGTCATGGGGTCACAAGGCATTGACCACTGTGGCCCTTCGTAAGCTCCGAGGAACAAGATATAAGGCATTCGTTCAGTCCTAGCGCTGGGCTGGCTGGGGCCCTGTCCAGCAGGGTGGATGCCTGGCATGCAGGCCAGGGCCTGTCCTACTGATTTTCAGGCAGGTGTTGCGAGAGCATGGAGTGCTGCCTGTGGGAGCCCCTGCAACTCCCCCAACCCTGGCTAGAGGGCGGTGACTCCTTGCACCCTGTGGATGGCTTCCCCCAGGACGCTTCTGCATGTTCACTGCAGGAAACACTTGGGAACAGACAGGTGTGCCAGTCTCCTCCGTTCAAGCAAACATAGGCCACGGCAACAATGGCGCATTGTGGTGGCCACAGCTCAGCCTGGGCAAACACCAGGGCCACATGATTATGAGCTTAGGTGTTCAAAGGCCCAGCCATTGTGCCCAGAGCAGGAAGTGGAAGGCTGTCCTGATATCCCAGTACCAGGGCCGAAGCTCCTGCCCTCCTTATCGGGAGGAGCTGAACCCCAGGGCACCGCCTTGGGCAAACAGGTGAGCAGCCCCAGAGGGGAAAGACACCTCAGGCCCAGCCGACCTCTGTCTGCTCTTGCCTGAAGGTGGACGTGAAAGGCTGGGGGTGCTGTGCCCGGGGTGGGGAGGAGGCTGCTTATGGACCAGGATGCCCCTCATTTCCGAGGATGGTGATAACTGTGCCCTGCTCTCTGCTTGGGACCTAGTACTAGTTCCCTAGAACAGGTGGGTAAACTGAGGCCCAGGACACACAGTGAGACGGCTGTGCAGTCAGGACTCACTGAGGCTGCCCCAGTCCCTCCTCTTAGGGCCTGGTGCTGGAGAGGCCCAAGGCTGCTAGCCTGGGGATGCTATTCTCCTAGTTGTTGGGGAAGGCAGCACCCCTCCGTACCCACCCACCCTTGCAGAGGTACCTCTGCCTGCTAGGTCCAAGGCCTGCTTCCTCTTCTGCTGCAGACCCTGCCGGGGTTCTTGCGGACAAAAGCACCTGTGCTCCTCTCCTGCTGTGCTCAGCTTGGCCCCTGTTTCAGAGCTCCAGCCCACCTGGGCAGAAGGGGGTGCATTCAGGGCAAGGAGCACCCCTGCCAGCCTGGGCAGTGCCATTTCCCCCATCATGTGGCTGTGGACTCACCTCACTGTTGGAGGTGTCAGCCTCCTCCAGTTCCCCCGACTCTGGCCTCTGCACTCCAGCCTTGCGGGGCTCTGAAAGACACAGGGGAAGGGTTAGCCACCCGGGCTGTCTAACCGGGATAGGGAAAAGTTCTGCAGAGCTGGGTAACTTGCCCCAGGGCACCTGTTGGGGTGTGGACACAGGCTAGGCCTCCCCCACCCCTGTGTGAGGGACCTGCCTACTGGGGTACCCTCCCCCAGTTTGGCCACTGTCAGCTCTGGAGCCAATGTAATGGGATGTCTGCTGGGCCCTCAGCTCCTTTCTGTTCACAGGTGGGAGGAAACACACCCCAGGCCAGGGCTGCCAGGGCCGGGTGCTGCCCTCCCTCCCCCTGCAGCACCACTTCCCCGGTGACCCCGCAGCTCACTGTACCTGGGGGCGTGGCAGCCTTGGGGCTCTGTGGGTGGGGTGCTGGCCTTGACCTCCCTCTGGCCGCACATCTTGTCCCAGCGGCAGTGAGCAGGCTGAGGTGGGGCCCTGGAAGAGGCTGTGAGGGACCCTGGGAAGGCAGGAGGCCGGGGCAGTCAGCCCTGCATGCAGCCAGTGAGCTACACCTGAGGGCAGCCCAGGGCTGAGGGGAGGCTGAGGACAGGCCCTGGGCGGTGGTCAGCACTGGGCCCCTTACCGTGGGAGTGGGAGGCCTCTCTGGCTCTGGCTCTGTGGCTCCTTGAGTGCCATTGCTGAGTGTGGGGGGACTGCAGGTCAGGGCTTGGGACAGAGTCAGCGGCTCAGGGCTGGGAGGGTGGGTGAGTTTGGGACTGAGGGACCCGGGTTGGCTGGCAGACTTGGGGGTGTCCTTGCTCCGGCTTGGGTCTGAGAGGTCCAGGGGCTTGTCTGGGGCATAGTCTTGAGTGGCTACTGCCTCATTCCATGTTGGTGATGAGCCACCTGTGGGCTGTGGGGGCCGCCCACCAGGCAGGGCTGTGGTGGTCAGGGCTGCCCTAGGCACCTCATGCTCAGGGCTCTCAGAGTCTGAGCCGATATGCCAGGAGGGCGGTGTCCCCCCGCCTGGGGTCAGGCCCCTTAGTGTGTCACCGCTGGCCTGTGCCCGTGTGCACAGCTGCCGTGGAGCCAGGAGCAGTTGCAGTGCCCCCTCTAGCCGTGGGTCCTGCATGCCCACTAGGGCACTGGGTAGGCCCAGCAGGCCCGAGGGCTCCTCCCAGACCTCCCCTGCCTTCAGGACCCAGGGCTGGGGGCTGCGGGGGGCTGTGGCTGGTGCTGGGGGGCTGTTGTGTGGGCTCTGGAGGTGCAGGGACAGGCGGCGGTTCAGGAGACAGAAGTGGTCGGCCTGAAGGGGGCGCTTCAGGGACTCATAGGCCTGGAGTGAAGACCCAGAAGCCCGCAGGAAGCTGTGGGGAGAAGAAACTTAATGAGGAAGCCTCAAAAAGGGAGGCCAAAAAGGGGAGGCAGTAGGGCCCCCATTTCACAGGTGAGGAAACTGAGGCCCAGAGTCACCCAAGGTCACCCCAGATCAGCAGAGGGTGGTGCTCTTGGCCATGAGTGTCTGTGCCTGGACACCGATTCCTCCACTTGTTCCTGGCAGGATATTGGGCTCTCAGGAGTGAGCGTCCCTTGCCTATTCCCCCTCTCAGACCCTGAGGCAGGGGCTTGGCACGGGCCTTCGGAGTGCCCTTTCCAATCCTGATCCATCTCCTGCCCACAGGCTCCGAGCCTGGTCACTCAGGAGGCATCCACGTGGCAGCTCTGTGGCAGGCAGGATGCCCAGCAAATCCAAGCGACAGGAAGTTCAGGAGGGATGAAGAGGGGCCTCTGGTTGCTGGGCCCCCCGTCTCGGGGTGGAGACTCACCTGTCCAGAGGGAGGCTATGCTCATACACTGGACTGGAAGGGTTGCTCCTGGTGTGGGGGGCTGTCCCGTCAGTGGGGCTGCGGTCTGCCAGGCAGGCCCGAGACCCAGGCCGCACCACAGCGACAGTGGCATGTAGCTGGTTGGAGATGCGCTGGGGGCTCTGTGTGGGGCCGGCCGGTCAGTGTCGCCAGGCTGCTGCTGGCCTTGCCCTTGTCCACTGAGCCCAAGCCTCCCACGTCAGCTGAAGCCTCACCATGTCTGGGGCCCGGGACTCAGGTGGGTTGGCCCCTGGAGATGTCCTGTAGCCCACAGACTTGTCTGTGGGAGGAGAAACCATGGCAGGGAGCTCAGGAGACCCTCAGATGGGTGGCTCAGCCCCGGCCTGTCTCCTCTGCACACACCTTCTCCTGGAGGACCTGTGCCTGGCTGGTCTTCCTCGGCCTCTTCGCGGCCTCCTTGTGGCTTCTTGGTGATGGCCTTCTGGCCGCTGGGGGAGGGGAGCAGCAGGGGAGAGGGGGGGTCCGAGGTACCCTCCCCGGCCGGGGCTGTGGGCCTGTCTCTGGAGGCAGAGCAAGGTGGCTGAGGGACATGGCCCCAGGTGACCCAGAAGGTGCAGCCTTCCCGAGTCCATCACCAGCACGGCCCCAGACATGTGCGGGGTCTGCTGTGGGTGGGGTGGGGAACTGGGGTGCCGGCCGGTGCCTTTGCCTACTCACCCCAGGCCGCGCAGCTGCTTCACCTCCTCCTTCAACACCGTGTTCTCCTCCTTTAGCTTAGTCATCTCATTGGCTGCAAAAGGCGGTCATGAGTGGAGCAGCCGGACGTGGGGCGAGGGCAGGTGGGGCTCACATTCCGGACCCTGTCTCACTTTGGTCTACGTCTCCCGTGCCTAGCCCGGGGCCGGTGTACAGTAGGTGCCCCGAATGCTCGCTGTGCAAGCAGACAGTCGGATGTCATAGACTAAAAAGGGGCTGCCTTGAGGTCTGGAAAAGTGAGGACCCCAACCCTGGGCTTTTCCTACGGTCCCGGAGATCCTCGGGAGTCACTGGGAGGAGGGGACAAGGCCCTGAGAGGGGAGGGACACCCTTCCATCCCCAGACTGTCGAGGAGGCATAGGTCAGCAGGGCTGTGTGCTGCTTGTCAGAACTGGGCGTGGAGTGCCTGCGGAGCAGGCCTGGGAGCTGTCCTTCCCCACGACTGTGAGTAAAGCTGGACAGCCCTGGAGTTGCTGGGTGTTCGGGGGACACGGGGCCATGCGAGGCTTACTTAGGACACAGATGCGCTGCAGGCTCTGCAAGTGGGAGCTCTCGAACTCTAGCTGCCTCTTCCGGGCCACCTCCTGGGTGACCATGCAGCGGTCGCACAGGCCGGCCCGCAGTCTGTGGGCAGAGGAGGGAGAGGCCACCCTGAGGGGAGGCTGTGGCCCCCTCGGCTGCTGCCAGGATGCCAGACTGTTTTGTGGGCCCGGTGTTCTGTGTTAATCGGGCTGGGAAGGACTCTTAGAACACAGGTGCCGAAGGTCTTGAGAAGCCCTGCACCAGAAAGGCAGCCTGCTCACCTGTTCTCCAGCACCCGCAGGTTCTCCTTCAGCGCCTTCTGCTGCTCCCTCAGCTGGTGGTTCTTGGCGAAGAGCTCCTCCACCCTCTGCGCATCTCTGGGGCGGGGGCAGGAAGGGAACCGAAGTGGGGCTGCCACTGGGGATGGAGCTCTTCCCCCAGCATGGCCACCTCAGGCCCTGCGGATGGACTGCAGCCAGGTCGGTGGTGGGGCACGGGAGTTCCATGGAGGGCAGCACACCTGGGGTCTGGTCCTGTCTCTACCACCTGTGCTGTGTGATCTTGGCCTGTGGCTCACCCCACCCCCACACGAGTCTCAGTCTCCCCTCTGCATCTGGTTAGTGGTAACTGCACCCTGGGGCATGGGGGCAGTTCCGGTGGTGGTGTGGCCCTGGGAGCAGCTGACTGCAGTCTGCTCCCGTCTGGCTGACTCACCGGCACCTCTCAGAGTTCAGTTCCAGAAGCTTGTTCTGCAGGCCTGGGGGGTAGAGGGAGGGGAAGTCAGGCCCGAAGCAGGGTTTGGGCAGAACCATGAGGGGTCACCTTCTGTCACTGGCTGTCACATCGGGAGGACCCCTGACCACTTGGCTGCCCCACTAGGAGGGCTTCCTGTCTGCCTGTGGGCGTGCTCCGGTTTAGCTCCCCGCAGTGCTGAAAGGGGCTGCAGGGGTGCAGGAGCCAAGAGGAGCTGTTTTGGGAGATGCTAATGTGAAACTAGCAAGCTTTCGGGGAAGACCTCAAAAAGCCCTCTTTTGCCATATCTTTGTATTTTGCAGTCCTGGGGATTGAACCAAGAGCCTTTGCACTAAGCTGTGTTCCCAGCCCTCCCTTCCCCCATTAAAAATTTTTTGAGACAGGGTCTTGCTGAGTTACCCAGGCTGGGCTCAAACTTGTAATCTTCCTGCCACGGCCTCCCAGAATGCTGGGATTATAGGCATGTGCCATCATGCCTGGCTGTTATATCTTTGTCATCCATTGTAGACTGGGGGGGGGGGACTGTAGACTGCCCAAGGAGCCCTGCCTTTCGGGTGCTCAGGAAATAACCAGCCCCTTTGGGCACTCTGTTAGGCCTTGGGCGGGGCCTGGCATGACAGGGGGATGGGAGGAGGTGAATCCCTGCCTGGTGGGGAACTAGGCAGGAGTGCAGGGCCTCGGGCATGTCCTGGAGGGACCAGAAGAGTTTCAGCCTGGCCTTCTGGAATGCTCCCAACAGGCCTTGGGAAGCACACAGTCTGTCTTTGAAGTGGACACCCTGGCCCAGCTCTGGGTGAGGGGCCACTGAGGCAGAGCTTTTCAAGGGTCTTGGTGGGGACTGTTTTTTTTGAGACAAGGTCTTTCTATGTTGCCCAGGCTGGCCTTGAACTTACACTCCTGCCTCAGCTTCCTGAGCTGGGATTACAGGTGTGTCACCCCACGCAGCTCCATTTGGGTGGCTTTCTGGGACAACACAGCATGGATGCAATTGGAGGCTGGACTTGGGGTGGCCATGGGGTGTTGGTGGTGACCCTCAAATGCACCCCTCCCCTAAGGACCACACTCTAGGGCCGTGGTCTTCACACACTCTGTGTAAGGGGAGCTCTCGAGGCTGAGTCTGGGTCCAGCCTGGGCATCCAGCCACCTTGCAGTTTAGGTCCTCTTCCTCGAAAAGTGGGGTCCCCAGATTTGTTGAGAATTGGAGGTGACACATGGGAGCTCCCTGGCCTGCCCTGGGCCATCAGTGCCACTGGTCCCCCATGCCCAGTACTCACCCAGGACCTCCTTCTCATGGGCATCCTTCAGCCTGTTCAGTGACTCCATGAAGTTCTCCATGGTGCTCTGCACCTGGCCACGCTGCCCAACTTTTGGAGATGGCTGTGCCTCTACTGCTCACCTGGCTCCAGCCTTCAGGGGAGGAAGAGGTGAGAGAAGTTGGCATGGGAAGCCCTGTGGGCATCAGAGTCCAGCCATGGGCCGCAGAGCCGAGCTCTCAGGTCTGCGTCAGGGCAGAACCACGTGGAGGCTTACCCTAGGGAGGTTGGGCGGAGACCCCAGACCCCAAGGCAGGAGCTGAGGAGTGCAGGTGTGTGGCTGGGCCACCCTGGGGAGGGGCAGCAGAGAGCAAGGGGCATTTGGGGTGAGTACCAGCCCTTCCGAGCTGCCAGGTCCGCCCAAAGGTGTCTGGCTCACCAATGCCTGCCCTGTGCCCATGGAAGCCCTGCCAGAGCCACGTGGACCACACCTGCCTGACCAGGGCTTGCTGTCAGTGCATGAAACAAGATCGGCTACTCTTCCAGCCAGCCACGAGGGCCCTCTCTCTCCTCCCGTCTCACAGCTTCCCTTCCCAAACCACAGCCCGGAGAGGTGGGGCTCGTCCCTTCATCTGTGTGTGCATGGACGGCATGTGCACACTCAGGACACCCACAGACACATACCACACGAGCACACATGCACACGCACACAGACAGACAGACACGTGGGACCATCTGTGACCCTGGGGTCTCAGCACATTCATCCTCCAGTGCCCATGACCCCTCTGTCTTCTACACTGCCCAGCAGGATGTGTGCTTTCTCGTCCACATGGCTGTGGTGCAGCGACATCCCAAACCTCTGTCCTCTGCTGAGGCCTGTGGGTGAGCCTGTGATAGGAGCTGTGCCCAAGGCCTCACCACAGGCCACAGAGGGGAGAGGAAACAGGCTCGTGGGCATTTTCCAAGTCTGCCCCGAAGACACCCATAGTGTTCAGAGCAGAGTGGACACCCAGTGCTTCGGAAGAGGCCCAGGCTGGAGCTCCTCAGAGCCCGTGGCCCACTGCACAATGCCCCCTGGCTTGTGGCATCTAGAGGCCCTTGGGCACAGAGACATGACCACTCTGGGCTCTTGGGGGTCAGGGTGGTGGGTGCCTTTGACTGGCAGAGGCGGGTGTGGGGCCCCTAGAGATGAGGAGGGGGCTGGAGCTGCCTGGAAGGAGAAACTCTGGGGTCCTGGCCCAAGCCTGGCTCTCACTGGGTCCTTTTATCTGTGGCCAAGTGTGTCAGCACGCCAGACAGAGCCGTAACATCCAGGCGCAAGCGGGGCTTGGGGGCACCGAATCGCTCAGTCGTGCCCATAGGAGCCTGCTGGGCAGAGCAAGCTGGGGCATGGTGGAAAGCAGGGCACAGGATCTGGGCCCCCACACCTGTGCTGCTGACCCACCTGGGCTCTGAGGCTGCCCCGCACCCTGTCAGGGAGCAGGGGTGACAGCTGCTGGCATGGTGTCCTGCGGTGAGGGCCCTGGAATGAAGAATGGGGGCTCTGCCACCATTTGGAGGCCAATTGGAGGGTGGGAGTGTGGGCTCACCTGCTGAGGGTGTTCTTGCAGGTTAAGGACATGGCTCTGAATTCCAGAGGCTTGGAGAGACGAGGGCTCAGGCTAGGGTGCAGTCATGTGACTGCTATAAATGGTAATTCTGGCCCCTGCTTCCTGAGCTACATGCTGCCCCAAGCTGGAAACCCATCACTCTCACCATAGCCATCTATCCCTGACCACACTGCAAGGAGCCCCCCTCCAGATAGGGAAACCGAGGCTCCAAGAGGTCACCTATCTTGCACAGGGTGAGGTGGGAGCTGGACTTGATCTTGGCTTTGAGCTGCACATCCTGTGCATTCACCCTGTGCAGGGCTGGGGCTTTTCTAGTGGGTCTGTGGCCTGGCTATGCTGGCCTGAGCTTGCTAAGGGGCCTGGGAGGTGGGGTGGCCAGCTGGGGCCTCTGTGGCTCAGGCTGGGCTAAGCAGGGGTGGAAGGGGCTGAGCCACTGCACTTGAAATCCCACCCAGACTTGCCCGGTGGGCTGCTCTTCTGTGTCCCCTGGTGCTTGCTATGTGGGCTGGGCCGATGCCCGTAAAAAAAACTCCCAAAGGAACCCAAAGTGCCCATGGGCCCAGGAGACGCCTGGTAGGCTCCAGGTCCACGAGAGGTGGCACTGTTCCCAGTGACTTCACTGTGGACCTGAGGTAGCATGGCAGGATCTGAGATCTCTCCTATGAGTCCTGTCCTCTGCCATTCAAGGGTCCCTCTCTGCTCCCAGACCACTGCAGGCCCTGCCTGGCTGCTCCTCTCCAGGTCCCCCAAGGATGGCAGGGGACAGTATGTCGTGGGCCCACAGGCAGAGCAGTGTGGTTGGTGACTGGACTAGAACTGGGTGGGCTGGTGGCAGTGGCCATGGTGCCCCAGTGGAACAGGCTGCAAGACCAGGTGCTTTGGGGCACAAGTGGGTGGCATGAGCCCCTGTTGTAAAAACACACAGGCACACCCAGCTACCCTGTGCCAGGGGCCAGAAGGGCCTGTAAACCTGGGGTGGAGATTTGGGCTGAAGGGATTCCTGGGATACAGGGAACTCTGAAGGTGGCAGTGGGGTCTTTCCAGACACCAAGGCTTGGCTAGGGGCTGTCGAGGGCTGTGATGGAGGACAAGCTAGCAGCGGGGAAGGGCCGGCCTGCTACAGGGGCCTGTGTACAGGTGGAGACGGGAGGAGCTCAGGGACTGCTGGGGGGATGGACTGGGTGAACAGAGACTTGAGCTCTGTGGCTTAGGGGCTGCAGGCTGGCCCATGGGTATACTACCCCTGTCTGGAGCTCAGGCCATAGCTGGGCCCCGAGGAAGGAGCAGGTGGGAGGACAGAGCAGGTTGCTCACCTGTGTCCTCCTGCCACTTGGGACTGGGCCATGGGGGGCAGGAACAAAGGGAGTCACAACTGCCACCTTCTGAGGTACTACCAGGTCCAGACTGAGCTGGGGGGCGGGGCTTGGACTTGGCTGGCTCAGGGCTCTGTGTGGGGTTCCTGGACCTGCAGGTTCTGCTCCTTCAAACGGCAGTGTATTCCTTTGACCAGACCTGAACAGGGTGCGTCCCCTAAACTGGAAACTGCTTCACTGAGCCTGAGGGCTGGCCTGACCACCTTCCTCCTGGTCCCCACCAGGAGAGCCCTTGCTGCAGGCCCCGCCTGCCTCCCAGGGCCCCTACCTGTCCCAAGCCCCCACCTGCCTCCCAGGGCCCAACCTGACCCTCAGGCCCCTGCAGAGTAGCTGGAAGAGGCAGGGGTGTCAGTGCCACAGGACAGGGTGCCCCACCCCACCCTGCAGCCAGTTGGGGTGGCAGTCTGGGCAGTGGGCTACAGGAGAGGGCTTTGCATGTGGCTCCTGTACTGTCTTTGTCCTCTGGGGAGCCTGGGCAAGTTGCTTTACCTCTCTGAGCCTCTGCTTCATGTACACCTTTGCCACGTATCAGGTTGCTGCCAGGCCCCCACTGAGTGTTGCGCATTTCAGGTTATGAAGGATCAGGGCACTGTGGTCCTCAGTGCCTCCCTCCTTCCTCACCACCCCAGGTAGCTAGTAGTGCCACCAGCAGGATCCCTCTTCTAGTGATAAGCTCAAGTTCAGTGGCCGAAAGGACCTTCTGCTGGACAAACCCCTCCCCAGCCCAGGGCAGAGGCCTGGGTTTCCTACGGCGCAGGCACACGGTCAGCTACTGTGGATTTCCTTCAGGTCCCTGTGTCGTGCTGGCTGTGCCTAGGGGAGACACCCTCTGGTCCCCCTAGCTGCAGCCACAGTGGGCACTGGCCTGGTAGGAAGCCCATAGAGGTGCCCACTGTACCCTGTCTCCCAGTGCCAGTGGCCAGACCCAAGTCTTGCTCTTGGGACAGTTGGAGCCCTGGGTCCTCGTGTTGGCTGAGCCTGTGTCACTGGGACTTTGGTTGGCTCTCTGCTCTTCAAGGTGCGGAATCAAGGGGCTGCCTGGGTCTGTGGCCACAAGGACGTCTGCCCTTCTCTTGCCTTCTTCCTGCTCCTGGAAGATGGGTCCCCGGGGAGCGGACTCTCTCCTACTGTGGGAACAGGGCTGTTGGTCTGCCCACCTAATTGTTCACCTGCCCTGAAGAACAGAGTTGACTGTGGTAGTGGTCACAGCAGGTGCCATGGCCTGTGGATCCACCCCACACCTCACTTTTGCTGTGGGTTCTTCTGGCTTGTGGGGCAATAAACTCCTAAAGCCTCAGAGGAGACATAGTTCAGAGCCATTTCCTGGCCGGCTGTCTGTACCCTGAGTGATTCCTCTTCCCCCCTGTCTCCTGCCTGGGACCCCAGGGCCAGGCATGTCGTCAGAGTCCCTGATATGTCTGTGGCATGTGTGTGCTCACGTGATGTGATCAGAACCCACTTGGCCATGGAGGAGGTGCTGGCTGTCCCACTCTGCAGATTCAGACCCTGAGGCTGAGAGCAGAGGAGGTGAACAGGTGGAGGCAGGATTCAAACCGGGGTCTGGCTGGCTTCAGGTTTCCACCTACTCTGTGTGGGGGCTTCTGCAGTGACAGGCAAAGCCTGTCCCTTGGTGACTTGCCTGCCCGTGCCTCAGTTTCCTCATCTATAAAACAGGTGGTGAGTCCTGCTGTGGGATGCTGGAGGCCACAGTCACCAGCTCCCAAGGGACCTGGTCGGGGCACCAATTGGGCTCCGAGTAACCTCCTGGGCCTGTCCAGGGTGGAGGCCCACATCCAGAGCACTCATGCTGAGTACTACCAAGGCCCATGATGGACCTGTGCACACACACACGTGTGCTGCCCTCACCACACCTGTGGGCAGCAGCAATGTCCTCACACAGAGAAACCACATTTGTACGCATGTCAAGGAGTACGCATGTGCAGCCTTAGCCACCCCCCTGCTGTGCGCACAGTGGCAGCACCGAACAAGGCCCAGCTGCACACACACATGGCCCCGGGGCACAGTGTGTGTCTCCTATGCATGCGCCCTGCATGCGTGTACGCACCTGCACAGAGGAGCAAGGCTGCTTTTCGGCTCAGGTAACAGAGGGCCCTGCAACCCGACTCCTCCTCAGGGCTGGGTTGGCCCTTGCTGCCTCCAGGCCTGGGGGCAGGGGCCGAGCACTGCCACCCTGGGCTGCCCATGCTGTGCCCAGCCGAGGGTGGCTCTGCCACACGTCCTGCTCCCTCCACAGCTGCCCGGATCCTGCCCCATGGGGCTCTTGGCAGTGGGGAGGTCCGGGATGGAGGGGCCCTGAAGCAGACCAGGGTCTCCTGAGCCCATGTGACACCAGGCCCTGCCTCTCTGCACCAGCCCAGTCCAGGAAGCCCACTGGGCGCCTCCTCGCTTGGGCCCCAGACCGGGTGGCTGTGAGTCCCTCTGGCTACCCAGTGGGCAACCCGCCTCTGCTGCCAGCCGCCCGAGGAGCCTGAGCCAGGCTGCCAGCCCCCATGGCATGTCCCCACCCTGGTGACCCCGGCCCCTGGCTTCTCAGCTGCCCTGTCTGGTGCCACTGGGTACTCACATGGCCTCTTGCCCTGCCTCGACCTCCGGGGCCGTGTGCCGAGTTGAGCGCTCCCCACCCTGGAGATAGGAGTGAGCAGTGTGTGAACTTGCACAGGCAACAAGACCGAATTTTGGCCAAACCTGCAGGACAGGTTTCCCATTCTCCCAGCCCGGAGCAGAAAGGAGGCAGGGACTGTCCGAAGCCGTCGGACGGGTTCTGCCATCTCGCAGAAAGTGGAAGAACAGGCTGGGTCTGGAGAATAGAGATGGAATTGTTTCCCCATAACTTCCCCGTGGCTGGTGCTGCTGCCCTGACGGCCAAGCTGGTGACAGGGAGCATCCAGGGGCATGCGGGGTGTGCAGGGCAGCGGGGCAGGCTGGGGTGCACCTGCAATGCTCCCCAGCTCACCTCAGGCAGGTGAAGACCCCTGACTGGACTCGGTTTCCTCGTCTGTGATTCGGAGCTTCAGGATCTGTCCTGCCAGAGTCCTGGGGATGGGAATCCAGAGATGGCTATTGGAGGTGACCCTGAGGGGCTGGGTGCTGCTGGTCTCTGCCCTTCCTGGGACGGGGGCTCCTGCTGTGGCAGAGGCTAGCAGGGCTAAGGCCTGTCTGCCCAGGGACTGTGGGTGCCCTAGCCAGTTGGGGCCCTGTGTGACAGGGGAGGGCTGGCCCGGCCCAGGGTGCTGGAGGAGCCAGGTGCTGGGGCTTCTGTTTGCTCTCTGGCTGGCAATGTGGTGGCTGCACTCTGCAGAGAGGGTGGCTTCCCACACCCTCCTGGACACCACCCCTCCCAGCTTCTCCGGCCCTTTGCAGAAGTAGGGGACTACTGAGTCCATGGAGCTGCAGGAGGGAGCTGGTGAGGATCCCCAGGGCCCCCCAAGTGGATGGGATGGGTGGTGTCCCCAGGTTAGAGGACAGACCATGTGGATTTCCTGCTCCCTGCTGGCTGCAGCAGCTGGCCCCGGGCTGGACCAACTCAGGTCCCACTGGGCCCCCTCAGCTGGGCTCTGGGAGGAGTTATGGTTGGCATGCACCCCTGCTCTGGGCAGGCCGTGGGGCCCTGTGGATGCTTCTTGCTTCCTCTTGTCCAGATTTTTTTTTGGCATGTGGACCGTGGAGGGGCTGGGCTTGGTGAGTGCAGGCACAGCCTGGTACCTGGGGACTATGGAGTAGAGTGTGTACTCACACAGGTGTGTGTGTGTGTGTGTGTGTGCACGCGTGCATGTTTGCTATGGTCTGAGTATCTGTGACCTAAGTTTGCATGTTGAAATCCTAACTCCATGGTTACAGTACCAGGAGGTGGAGCCTTCCTGGATGGGGTCAGTGCCCGCACAAAAGGGACCGGAGCTCCTGACCTTCCTAGGGCACAAGGCCAAGGGACCCGAGGAGGTGGTGGGATTGTCTGTGAATCAGGAAGCCACTCTCCCCAGGCACCCAAGCTGCCTGTGTCCCCTTTACTTCCAGCCTCCAGCAGGCAAGAGGGAAGGTTTTGCTGCCCTCAGTTCATCGGAAGAGGCATTTTGCTATAGCACCAGAGCAGACTCAGCCATAGTGTGGACATCTGAGTGTGCTCAGCTGTTGCCCTCAGCTTGTGTGTGTCCACCTGTGTGTCTGTGTGTGTGACATGTTGGGTGTGCTCTTGTGCACATGCGGAGTATACTATGTGCCTGGCGGGGCAGCGTGTTGCTGCCTGAGGTCCTCGTGGGAAGCCAGAGGCTCACTCCCCATGGCAGTGCTGGCTCTCACACTGGCCTTCAATCTGGAGATTTGAACCTGGGCTTCTGCCCTTTGAGAGCTGGGCCACCTTGGGCCAGTCACACTAGCTCTGAGTCAGCTTGGTCTGCAAGGCGGTCCTCCAGGCAGCTGGCGGGAGCCCTGAGGCTGCCCCAGGGCGCTCAGCAGTGGGCTGCTTCTTGCTGAGGTTGGCATGGATGGGACAGTGGCTCTGCCTGGGCGTCATTATTGAAAGAAATGGATTTTTCTTTTTTTCTTTTTGGTACCGGGGATTGAGCTCAGGACCTTGCGCTTGCCAGGCAGGTGGGAGTTTTCTTGTGTAGCCCAGCAGCCCTGTGGCTGTGCCTGCCCCAGTGCAATGGGGTTTATACTGGCCCCCAATTGCACAGGTGGATGGCTGGGCAAGGGACTCGAGCCCTGTGATGGAAAATAACCCAGTAACCCACAGGCAGGACCTGCAACACGTGTGGCTTCAAGCTGCAAGCTGGGTAGAACAGCTACATGTGGCAGGGCATGCATGGCAGAGGACATACAGCCCTGGAAGGGAATTTCCAGCCCAAGGGGCCTGGAGCCTGAGGGGAGTCCGGGTGGAGGACAAACAGACAGAGAAGGCTCTCTGAGAGCTGGAAGCACTGCTTCTTGTTGTGGCTATCAGGTGGGAGACTCACAGGGCTGTCACTGCACATGAAAGACTGTGACCTTCACTTTATGCAAATCACTCTTCAGTAAGGTTGATTTTGTTTTCTGTTTGAGACTTGGTCTTTCTGTGGCACTTAAGCTGGTCTCAATTTCTGAACAATGTTCCTGCGTCAGCCTTCTGAGTAGCCAGGAGTATAGATACCATGCCTGGCTAATAAGGCTGCTTTTTAAAAATTAGCAAAATCATTTTTTTAGAGTAATGTTGGGGTGATAGCAAAACTGAGAATAAGGTACAGACTTACCATGCTCACCCTGTCCCCATGTCCCCAGCGAACACAGCCTCCCCGGCTGTGGTCATTCTGCTCCACAGGGGCATACAATGATTGAACCGATACTGATGTGTTGTTATTTTATTTTTATGTTTTGTGGTACTGGTGATGAAAGCAGGACCTTGCACTTGCCAGGCAGGCAAGAGCCACTGGGCTTCACACCGGCCCCTTTCTATGTTGTTATTAATCCTTTGGGGTCCACACTTAGGAATGTGACCATGGGATTATTAAGGCAAGACTATATTTAGTTTTATAAGAATAAAGTTGACTAAAATGCCGAATTGGTGTGCCACTCACCTTTAATGAGTGAGCCTCTGAGAGGCTGAGGCAGGAGGATCACATATTCAAGCCTACCTTGGGCTATTTAGCAACTTAGTGAGAACTTCTCTCAAAATAAAAAATAGAAAGGGGCCAGGGAAACAGCTCAATGCAAAGGCCTTCAATTCAGTCACATGCACACACACACACAAAGCCAAAAGCCCCTATGGCTGTGAGGTGGGAGGCAGTGCTGCCCCCACCTGGGCCAGAGCTGCCAGACGTGTTGGGTCGAGAGATGTCCTAGCTGTCAGACACACGCCTGCCCGGGAGCAGGACACACACTGGGCACTGTGGCCTGATTCCTTGTGCCGCTCCTGGGCAGTCAGAGCCTCAGCTGCCCACTGTGTTGCCTGGACCTCTTCCTGTGGCCTGGCTGGAGAGTTTGCCATGGTGATGCTGCCGCCCTTGTACCAGGGATGAGGGAGGTCAAGTGCCTGGCCCAAGGGCACCACCTTGTGAGTGGATCTGGGAGTTGAGCTGTGGCCTGCCTGGGAGGGGCACCCATGCTTCGCCATATGGCTGCGCAGGCGTGGGTGGGGCTGGCATAACTGCAGTCTCCACTCATCCTGCCCGGACACAAGCGGGCTCTTTCCACGTCTGCATGCCCAGGACTGGGCCTGGGGCTTGGAACCGGTGTCTGTCAGCAGCTGTGGGCGGGGGTGAGGGTCACTCAGTCCGGAGACCCAGCCTTGCTGAGGTTCTCTACTCCTGGATGCAGCCCAGGGCAGAGGCCCTTCCATGCCCAGCCCTCACCCAAGCAGGTGTGCAGCTAGGCTCAGTCCCTCTTGTGTGGCCTCTCTCTGGTGCCAGTGTGGGTCCCTCCCATACCCCCACAGTGCAGCCCTGCCCATTCTTGGTGTGCGGCCGGGTGGGAGCCCATCCTGTCCTGGACTCATTCCCACCTTCCCCCTTCCCGGGTGGCGGGAGCAGCCATGTGGGGCCGGGGTGGAGGGTGCCTGCTGGAGCAGCCTGGATCCAAGTGCGTAGTGAAGGCCACCTGGCTTGGAGACACCACAGAGCAGGACCTCGGGCCACTGACCTTGCAGTCCCCGGGAGTGGTCCTGAGTTTAGGGTGGGTCACAGGTCAGGGTCTTTGGGGAGGGGAAGATGTGTAGGGACCTCTAACTCATGTCCTGGACACACAGCTCAGGCAGAAGGGACTTCCAGTCCTTTGTTGCAGCACCACTGTCTGGCAAGCAGCCCACCTCTGGGTGCTCCAGGTTCTCCTGCCTCTGAGGAGTTTTATAGGCTCACCCTGTCCATGCTGAGACATTGGCAGACCGGACATACAATATTCACTCACCCCTTGTTGCCTCTGTGTGTCAGGGACACAGGTGCTGGGTCTCCGTGGACAGCAGCCCAGTCCACGCGGAGCTCAAGGTCCAGTCACATTGCGCAGAGTGTGTTGCACACACACACGAGCCAGTTGTGGTGGTGGACGAGGGACCACCTGAGGCAGAGCACCAATGTGCCACATGGGCTGGGGTCAGGCCTGGCCACCAGAGCTGGGGGAGGCCCTTTGTCCTGCCCAGTTCTGCATGGCAGAGTCCCCAGCTCTCAGTGGGGCCGTGGTCAGGAGGGTGATGCCAGGACGGAGTGCAGATCCAGCCCTATTCCAGTCCTGGCACTGCTAGGAGGGGCTCTGGGCAGGAGCTGGTGAGGGACGGCTTTGTGGCTGCTTGTCTGTGCCATGTAGTATGCGACCCCATCCCCTGCCCTTCACTCCCGGCTAGGCACTGGACCCCAGAGATGTTACATGCTGGGGACCTTCGAGGCCTGTATGTGCTGGCCTGCAGCACTCAGAGCTATGGGGTGAAGAGGACAAACCCAGGGGCTGTGCCTGCATAGGACAGGGAGGGAGTCTGCAGGGCACGGGTGGGCCAGCAGGAATGGGCTACAGTTGCCCATGTGGACACTGAGGCACAGACCATGCCCAGCTTTGTTGGCAGGCAGAGGCTGGCTGGGCTTGTGGATCTCCCTTCTCTGGTGGGACCCAGCGGCCCCAGACCCCACCACCCGGAATCCTTTGTGCTGCAGTTCGTAGATCGTTCTCAGCTGCAGATGCAGGGCAGGATGTCCTCTGCCCTGAGCCCTGCTGTGTGTGAGTCAGGGGGGCACCCATGAGACCCCCACCTCTGCTGAAGCCCATAAACGAGGGGCTGACCATCCTGGCCATGTCAGCTGGTGCCAGCCCCAGGGGTGAAGAATGCAGGGTTGGCTTGTGGGGCTCAGGAGGTGTCAGGGCTGGTGTGCATGCGGGAGCTGCTGAAGCCAGAGCAGAAACAGGAGGGTGGAGGAGGTGTGCAGCCCGGGAGCTGCCCAGGGTGCCCCTGCGCAGGTGCTGTGACAGAGGTGCACTGAGGGAGCCCCAGTTGGGCAGGGCTGGAGGCCTGGGCAGGTCTGCTACGGGGCCAACTAGGCCTGAGATGGGCCCCTTCTTCAAGCGCCATGCTCAGAGTTGTGGGCAGAGGAGCAAGGGCAGGAGAGGAAAAAGGAGAGTTGGGTGCTGTCCTTCGCCTGTCCACTTCCTGCCGTTCATTTGACTGTGCAATCATCTAGGAACTATGTCTTTCTTTCTTCTGGTTCTGGGGGCTAACTCAGTGCCTCAGGAGGCAAGTGCTGCCCATCTGAGGCTCCAGACTTGTGATCCTTCTGCCTCAGTTTCCCATCTCTGGGATGGTGGGTGTGCCACTGTGCCTGGCTCAGGAACAATTTCTCGATCACCTTAGAGGCTTTGCTCTGGGTCCTGTCTTGGCATCCACTCCTTAGTTCAGCCACCCCAAGGTGCTGTCGCCTCCCTACCTGGCTGGGGCTGGGCAGCGATGAGTACAGGCACCGGCGCCCAGGCTCCGGAGACAGCAAGAGAAACCCATTGGACACTATCCTGTAAACAGTGGCCAGGGTTCAGAGTCAGGACTGCTCCATGGCCCGACCTGAGGCAGGGGAGCAGGGCCCCTCCTGTGCCAGGACCCCGCAGGCTCCTCTGGGCCCGATGGCTGCTCTGACCATGAGGGGCTGGAACTACCTTAGAAAGACTCGAAGGCTCCTGTGGCCCCCCGCCCTGCTTCCTGGGCCAGCTGGGGGCAAAATGCCCGGCCCGGGAGAGGCGGGTACCTGGGTTTTATCCCTGAGTGGGAGGGTGGTGAGATAAAGCTTCAAAGGCGGCTGCTTGTAAATGCACCTTTAAAAGCCACCCGGCCAGCCAGATGTTTGTGTTACTGGACTGATAGATAAGAGATGGGGTGGGCGGCCAGGGCACAGGCTAAGCCAGCCCTGTGGCCCGGGCTCCCAGATAAATGGGTCACCTATTAATATGCCTGCAGGAGGGCCTGCCTCCCTTGCATGGAGTGTGGGGCCTGTGCCCCAGCCCCGCCTCTGGCCCCTGGTGACCCAGCCAGGGCTGGGGCTTCTTCATGGCAGCTGGCTGTGTGCTGACGTGGATAGACTGTGCTGGGGAGCAGGCTGCTGCAGGGCAGGGGTAACCCGTCTTTCTTCCTTGTGGCCTCAAAACTGGGCACCCAGCTTTCAAAATTACTTTCCGATGACACAAGAACTGCAAGGATGCCTCACACAGCTCTCAAGTGTCTTGGAGGAGGCTAAAGCCTCCTTTTATCCTTGCCCCTCCCAGGATGCCCTCTGCTTGGGATGGGTGCTTTCCGCCTGCTCTCTCTGAGCTGCCTCTGCACCGTGACCACCCAGAACGTGGGGCTCCGCGGCTCCCATGAACACAGGTCTGTGCAGCGGTCACCGTGTCTGGCCCTGGGACACTTCCTCCCCTGGAAGGGGGCCTGCACCTCTCCGCAGTCAGCTCCTTCCCTGCAGATTTGCCTGTTGGACATCTCACACGGCCCAGCTTCTGTGTCCAGCCTGTGTCTAGTGTTCCCCTCACTGCACACAGTAGGTCCTGCTGCTTTCTAGGGCCGAGTAATTCCCCATCGGATGGGTAGCTCACGTTATTTTGTGCTCCCTCATCATTGGGTGGGCATCAGGGTTGTTTTCCACTTGTGGCTTCTGTGAACAGCTTTGGTTGAACGTTTGTTTCTGGTCCTCTTTGTTGTAGACCCAGGAGTGGCACTGATGGCTCCTGTCATAGCTCTGTGTGTAAGGTGTTGGGATTTAGAAACTCTCCCAGTGGTTTAATTGACAGTCTTTAGCCCGCTAAGCCTGCATATGCCTGGACTGTCTGTATCATTACACCTCCATGTGCATCCATAATTATCTTGTTAAAATTTCAATAGAAGTAAAAATCTACATTATTTCTCTTGATACCAAGTTTCTGGTGCCCCTCTTCCCAGGCTTCAAGAAAGCCCCACCCTTCCTTCCTTATTTTCTCTCCCCGTGGAGACCTCTGTGGGCAGGGATGACCCCTTTGCCTGTTTCCCTCACTGGATTAGCTGAAGAACTTCACCCATGGGGTCCAGGGCAGCACAGCTCTCTGAAGCTCCTTAAGGCCTAGAGGCTGCTGTGATTCCTGCCCTTTCAGGTGATATCAGCCTGTTTCTAGGCAGAGGGAAAAAGAGCCTGAGGGTAACAGGATGGCGGCAGTGCTAGGCCTCCTTGCCTGACTCCAGGAAGCTCAAGACTTGTTTTTCTGCTCATTTGTCCCTGGCTTGAAGCAGTAGCAGTGCAGGGCTCCTGCCTCTGCGAAGAGCGGCCTGACTTCCTGGAGCTGCAGGAACTTGATGGGTGTGCAATGGGGACTGTAAATCACTGCCGGCCAGATAGCATGATCCATGATCTGGCGAAGGCAGGCTGAAGGGGGACACGGAGGTGTCAGTGACGGGAGTGATCCAGGACTAAGCCGGGCTGTCTGCTGGCACATCACAGATAATAAAACCGCGTCACCCTAGCGCACGCAGAGAATGTATTGGGCCCAGATGTCGTAACCGGTGCCGCGTGGCCAGGAGTCTGGTGTCAGGGAGCCATGGTCCATGCACCACAGATCCTGCGCACATCGTAAAGATACATTAATGGTCTGTGTGACTTTAGAGAAATACCAATATTTTTGTTTTATGAGAAACAAGAGTGGAAAATATTAAAAGTCAGAGTTTTATAGCCTGCAAAAAAATTAAAGGAGGAGGATGTGGGCAGAGACCGAAATCTGCACGCTGAGTGTCTCGCCCTGCCTGGGACCTGGCTGTGGCCTCCCCTCTGAGGACTTCTGCTCACTAGAAACTTCCTCCTGGGAGGGCATGGCGGCCACTGGGTGGCCCAACCAAGCACCTAGAGGGACAGGGACTCAGGTGTCCCAGGGCAGGACTGGAGCCCCGAGAAGTTCGACTCGCAGGAGTGCTCAAGGACACAGCTTCCTGCAAGCTCTTCCCAGAAGGAAATGCCGCTGGCGACACCAGCTCTGTGGTGGACAGGTGGTCGTTTACTGTAAGGCCAGATTGAAACTTTTATTTCATGGCTCAGCTTGAATGACCTGCCAGACAGAGCAGAGAAGGCCACCGTGGTTGTCAGGGTTGTGAGAGTCGTGTCTGGCCAGAGTGTCCCAGGGCCCATGGCAGTCTGCAGGGCTTTAGTCCCCTGGGCCCGGGACGGTGTCTTCCCACCAGGAACCCAGGAGGCAAGGGATGGATTTGTTGGCAGAGTTGCTTTTCTTCCCATTTCTGGTCCACACAGGGCTGGGGTTGGTGGAGTGCTCTCTCTGGCCACCCTGTATGCTGTGGGAGGAGCCCAGGGACCGGGACATAGCCAGGGTTAGGATCTGCCAAATATTTGTTTGTATTTTTTGTTTACTTAATATTAAAGTGAAATTCCCTCGGCGTAAAAGTAACGACTTTCAAGTGACCGATTCAGTGGCACCTGGGACATACACCAATCATGAAACCAGCACCTCCAGCTCCATCTCCTTCACCAGCAAAGGAGACGCGGTGCCCATCAGCCCCGGCTCCCTCATGCCCAGTCGCTGGCAGCCCTGACCCACCTCCTGCCTCTGCACCTCTTTTGAGAGGTGATCTCTGTGCCTGGTTTCTTTACTGAGTGCTGTGGTTTGGAGTTTGCCCTCAGTGCCCGTGTGCCTTCAGGGCGCTGCCTGTCAGGGAGCAAGCACTTCAGTAACCTCATCTCCCGTGGGTGCCGGGGCTGCTGTGAATGTTCAGGCACCGGCACTGGTTTCCATACTGGTTCCCCACCCTTTGAGGTGTATCTGTGGTCCATATGCAGTCCTTGGGGCTGAATTCAGGGCCTTGGTGCTGAGCTACTTCCCCAGCCCCATTTTAAGAAAGTTTGAGACAGGGCCGGATCAGTCACTAGGTTGCCCAGCCCAGACCTGAGCTTTCAGTTCTCTTCCTCAGACACCCAGAACGCCGGGGCCCCAGGTATGCCCACCACGCTTGGCTATCTTGGGTGTTTCATTCAGGGTCTGAGGCATTTTCTCCCTGTCATGGGTGCTGTTGCCAATTAATAGTGACTTTTACTGAGCATTTACCCAGTGACAGGGTTTTGTTAGCCAACCCGGGTGATAGCACGCTTGGTCTTGAGTGCTCCGCCAGATGAGTTTGGACATGTTCGGCTGGTGACTCCTGGTGCCTCTCCAGCCATTGTCACCTCTCCCCAGTCATAATCAGGCCTCTTTCTGACTGTGAGGTCAGTCTGGGGTTCATGGACACGGAGCCATACAACCTGCAGGCGTTCGTGTCTGCTTCTGGGCAGAAGGACCTGTCTGAGACGCATCTGTCCTTGCCTGAGCAGGACCCTTGTGGTGGCCTCTGTGTGTCCGCTCACCCGTTGATGGCCCTGTGGCTGTGCCCATGCTCTGTGTGGACAACTTGATGCTGGCTTTGTGTGGACACCAGGTTTGTTCTCTAGGGAGATCCCAAGCCGGGGAGCCCAGTGCTTATGCTAAGTGTCTGCTTAACTCTGCAGCTGACCAGGGGATTCCACCGTAGTGCCTCTGCCTTCTGCCAATGCAGGAGAGCTCAGTGGCTCCCCTGTTGGCCCAGCATTGGTGTCCTTTGAATTTTAGCCATTCTTATGGGTGTTATTCCCAATGCAGAGGTCAGGAATCGGAGCTAAAATGAGCTGTCCTAGGCTGCACAGCTGCTGAGCAGCAGCCAGAACCCCGCAGTGAGTGGCCCATGTGCCCCCCCAGTGTCAGTGCAGAATAATCCACCCCGCAGTGACAGTGTCAGCCAACACGCGAGGTCCACAAAAGCAGAAGCTGTGTCCATGTGGGCCCCAAGATCGTGCCTGGGCCCTGCCTGGGCCTGGCTGGTGGCCCTGGCCCCCATGAGTGCCGTGTGGAGACACCTGTCTACTTCGGCTCTCCCTCTTGCGCAGACAGAGGAGCCTGGCAGCTCTTGAAACCAGGGCAGCCAGACAGCCAGGTCGCCATCTTGACCACTGACAGGCTGCAGACCTTGTGCATCCAGTGGGGCAAGTGGGTGCCTCCTCTTGGGCCTGGCACTGTCAGGTCTGGGTGGCCTGAGTGGTCCCTGGCCTCGGCACCAGCTCCCTAGTGGCCAGCTCTGGGACCCCTGCCCAGGGCAGGGGGTGGCCGGGCTGAGATTGGCCTGTGTGGTCTGCTGTGTTCTATGCTTCTTTCCCAACACGCACAGTTACATAAACGATGATAACACTTCATAAACATTTTTCTAACATGCGGAATGTTTGACATGAATTTCAGCTATTTTAGAACTAATAAACAATTGTCAGTGTCATGGCCGACATGGAGCAGAAGCTGCAGCACTTTAGGGAAGATCAAAGCCTCGAGCAAAGATCTCGTCTTTGGAGGAAAAAAGAGGACAGGACTGGAACCTTCCTGTCCCGGTGGGTGGGGCCTTCGGGGGCGGCTCTGGGCTGCCGTGGGGTCCTGGGCCAGGCAGGACGCGCAGTCCCGTGGGGTGAGGAGCTGCTCAGACACTGGCGACTGGCTCAGGCCTCGCGGTGGACGTCGGTGCTGTCCAAACTAGGGCCGTCGGGCCGGGGGCCTGCTCGGAATCTGAGTGCCAGTGAGCTGCGGGCACCTCGCCAACGGCCTCTGAGCCCACAGCTGGCGCCAGAACTGGCAGCCGAGCCGCTGCCCTGGCATGCAGCATGGCGTCCATGGTCCTTGGGAAGATGTGCTCCGGTCCCAGGGTGAGGG